TGATTTAAAAAAAATCAACTTATATTCGAATAGTATACTTGAAGTAATGAAATAAAGAAATTATAAGAAAATCTTCTTTTTTTGCACTTAATGTGATTGTATATGTCCTTTTCTTAAATCTTATTTAATAACCTTTGGATTCTTTTAGTATTGTAAAGATAAATGAATTTAAGATGCTGATATATGTTATAATATTAATGTCTATTAAAATTGAGAATGTCAATCAAGTATAATTAATTATTCTGATGTATTTGATAAGAATTATAATTTTAACTCAATTTATTTAAACATGAAATAATAGTTATTAACTATGCATTACTAAAATATAATGAAATGCAGTTTTTGATAAGAGGTGTGACAATGTGAAATTGTTTTGCAAATTAATAAATGAAATTTATTTACAATGATAAAATGATATAAAAAAAATATAATAATAACAATAGAATGCTACGAACATAAAATATTTCAAATAAGTTTGGTTTATTTAGATAACTCATAAGTTTTTTAATGTCTTACATACATAATATAAATACAAAAAATTAATTAAAAAAATCCTTTAAATTGATGAAACATCATGTCGATCTCTATTTACAATTCCATATAAGAAATTAGTCCCATAAATTAATTTGACTTTAGTTAATAATACGATTTTTAATATTTATTACTTATATATACCGGAAAATAACGTATTTGTCAATTTTTTCCAATTACGAAGAAAAATAATGTTTCAGTAAAAACTATTTCATCAAAACATTTATTTGAAATAGATTTCATTCAATGAAATACATCTTAACGATTATATTCTTTTAAAGTATTTATCTAGTATCGAAATTTAAAAATAAAACATTACTTTAGACTCCGTATAAGAAAACAAATTATAAACAAAGTATAGGGCAAACAGAGAAAGTCCATTAGTGGAGTTGCAAAATGAGCCAAAAAATAGTGCAAAAATGGAAACAGGAACGCAGATAAACTATCGCGTCTAGTTAACTTATTTGTCTGATTGGCTCTAACGATACTGGCAAATAAATGTAAAAGAGAACTAATTAGAGAAAAGAAAATAATAAGTATGAATGAAATTATCAGGATTATAACGATGCTGCATTGCAACTATAATATGATTGAAAAATACATGCATACAAAACAAAAAAATGCGATAGTTCCATTGATGTTATGGGAATAGCACAAATACATCCACGCATTCGACCTATCGCTCGAGGGTGAGAGTGAGAGAGAGAGAGAGAGAGGTCAAAAAAAAAAAAAAAAAGAAAAGAAAAAAGAAGAACTTATTATTAATTATAACAATAATATCGAAGTCTCCGTGCCTTTAGAAATTTATTTTTAAACCACCAACTCTCGTTTGCTCGGCCCTTGTTGATTATTTTCTCCTTATCCCCGCTGCTATTGCTGCTGCTCGTTTTCTCTTTCTATCTTTTCGTCCCTTCTTCGCTACTGCCCCTACTAATGCTGACCCAATTTCCGACGTGCGTTGCTGAGCGAGTATGCGCGCAACAACGGCGACGACAACGCGGACGAGGGCAGGAGGAGGAGGAGGGTCAGAGTAAAATATGGACTGCGCCGTGACTACATCCGTTCCTCAATACGATCAGGCTGTATGATACTAGTTTTTTTTTTTTTTTTTTCATTTATCGTCACAAGATTGTTACAGCTAGAAATAGATAGATAGATGTGAAGATAAATGGAGAGAGAGAGAGAGAGGGGGAGAAATCGCGGATCGCAGTTACGGAGATCGGAAGGACGAAAAGAGTAGAAGGAACTTGCACGCGAATGGTTGTACGATTTTCCAAGGAAATAAATTTAATATTTTTCAAATGAGTTTAATATATTATAATTATCAGATTTGCTTCAGAATTATTAAGGTTATTTGCATTTTTACAAGATTATAATTGGTTGTAAATAATTATTTATATTTAATTGAGCCGTTAAAATGCTTTCAATTTATTTAATAGAAATTAGGCATTAAATGTGGCGAAAAAATAAAAATTATAAATTTTTATAAAATAATATATTTCAATGAAATATGTCAGTATTACAATATGTTTTCATCAAATATTTCATCGCTAATAATATTTATATAATTTACTTGAATAAAGTCACAAATATTGATAATTATTTCGTTATATTTTAATCATTGGCTATCTTTCCGAAAACTTATTCTTCAATATATAGAAACTTAAAAACTATTTCAATTCACCATAATCATACGCTTAGAATGTATTTATTATCATTATTTACAAATAAATTATTCAAAAATAAATCGAAAGAATGAAATGTTAATATACAAAAGTATATGATCGATAAAATTATTTAAATATTATTTTTCTTATATTTATTCTAATTAATTTTAGATTATTATCTTAGTAAACGCATTATAGGGAAGGTTAGACTGATTTTACGATTATTTCTGATTATTTAAACAAGTCTCCAATTATAATGTACATAGAAATATTTTCATACATTTTTATTTGAAATAGTCTTTTATTTGAAATAATAATTGTTAGATATTTTAATTTTAATTTTTAAATTATAAAACATACTTAAATTATTATATTTATTTCAGATTAAATTCAATTCAAAGTTACAATGTTTCTCTAACTAGTACTCTACTATAATTTGTCAAAAATAATTGAAGATTAAATTGAGTTACGATTTAAGTTTGCATTTAAAATAATTGAATAGCATTTTAACATTTTAATACACGAAGTAGTTTTATTAATAATTAATCTTTATTAAACAATACTAAATACAAGCTTTGTGTTGTAAGTTTGCGAAGTTATATATAACTTAAATAGTTTAGATATAGATTCAACATCAGCTTATCTTGGAAAATACGTTTCAAATGAATACTATTCGAACTAGGACATTGATAACGAACATTGAGACTTATGTAAATAAATTAAATACAAGTTACAATAGAAAATCATTTTAAGATAATTATAGTTAAAGATTTGCTTTTTTTGCTCCCTCTAGGATTGAATTTAAATTTATCATTTATTATGAATATTAAGTCTCGCTTTAATACATATAATTAACTTAAATAAAATTCTATATAATTAAATTTATATAGACTTTTTTTTTAATGTTAATAATTCAATAGTTTTGTGTAAAATTTGAAAAAGGATATTTAATTAATATCGGAGTTTTAATAGTTATCCGAATAATTTAAAACCAATATTTCTAATATTATCAAAATATCAGATGTAATTAAAAGTCATTAATTCACAATAAACTAAAATCAAATCTTGCATCAATACTGAATTTACATTAATAAAGCGGGTCGTCGGATACAATAGAATTGAAAAAAATTATATTTTCTCATTTATATAACATTTGGCATAGATTATACAATAAATAATAGATCAATAAAATTTATAAATTTAATTTTACGTATTTTAAATATATATTTACATGATAAAAATGGGAAATTGCATTATTCAGCGGTATTAAAACAAACCTGAAATTGATATTTTAAATTCAATGATGTGGTGAGGTTTTTAAAATTGTCAGAAATGATAAAGAAAATATTAGCAGATCAATGGAACTAATTCAAAGATTATTCGAAAAAAAAAAATTATGATTAAATAAATTTTATTATTTTCATTATAAATTTATAAAATTATAAATTTTCATTAAAATTGATCTATAGTCATTATGCTTATATATACATTTATCTATGCCACAGATTTATTCATAATTTTATAAAGATAAAAATGCATTGATAATCAAATTTATTTTCTACATCGTGTATTATGTAATTTATAAATATTCGTGTCCCTACCTATATCTATATATATATATATATATATATATATGCATATATAAAATATGTGAAATTTAATTTTAAAAAAAGATCTTTAAAATTTTGTTTATTATAGTCTCATTTAATATTTTATTGATTCTTCTAAATTCTATTGATTTTATGGATTTTGAAGCATTGGAAGGAATTTATTGTCGAGTATATAAAGTATTCATTAATACAAAATTTATTTTAAAGTGATCCGATATATTACACGATTTTTTACTTCGTTCAATATTCTACAGATTTTGTTCTTCATGGTCAATTTAATAAAATATTTTTCATAAATTTTTATTTAAAGACCTGATCGTATTCGCCTTTATCCGCTTTATCGTATATTATTACGTTTGATTTAATATTTTCTCATTCCTGTTACACTTCTCTTCTTTTTTTTTCATTTGTTCCAATAATGTGAACGATCTTTTCTCCATTGTGGTGGCTTGTCATCGTTATTTTTGCATTTGAATCATTTTTTAATCGTATGTTTCTTATTCTTATTTTCTCGATTTTTATTATAATATTTAATTATTATTATGTGCGATATGATTTAGATTTATAATTTATTCAATAAAATTATTCTCTTTTTAAATATTTCATTGTTTTGAAAATATAAGTAAAAAATAATATGTTAATAAAATTAATGATATTACAGTTAATGTTTTGGCATATTTTAGGCAATAATTAAATGTACATCTGTTGCTTTTCTATAAGAAGAATATGTACATCGATTGAACAATAGACATATTTTTAATAAAATTTCAGATTGCAAAATTCAAGTATGTCCATTTGTCTTAAGAACGTTAACACCAAGTCTATATTTAAGTTATACGAGGTATAGATTTTAAAATACATTCGTATGTGTATTTTCAAAGTGAACAAGTTATACACACATTTTGAATACTGATTAAACATTAAAAAAAGAAGAATAATAGCGAAATACACAATTACATTTAAGAATTAATGTGCCATTAAATAAGCAAAGTTCTTTTAAATGCTTAAAAGTGCATGTATAGTGACATCCGTAGACTAATGTAATAAACTATAGAATTTAAGTAATTCGATTAGCAGTAAAAAAAATAATTAGTAAACGTATAAATTATTTATATATACATTAAAGCTTGTATAACATGATTATGAATTTTAAAAAGTAATCAATTTGTAATCAGAATAATTTTATTTTCAGGATGAAAAAAATCAGCTCCTAATTACGAATCTGTGGTTGAAACTGGTGAGTTATATATACACACACATATATATATATATATATATATATATATATATATATTATTTTTTTTTATATTGTATAAATATGTATAAGTGATAATTTTGTTATATGAAAATATTAAATATATTTATACATCATATCAAATGATAATAAATGAATGTAAAAAATTATACGATATGATGAAAAAAAAACCAAATAAATAAATAAATATATAAATAAATAAATAAATGTATTAAAAATTATATTTTTTTTTCGTTGCTCTCCGCAGTAATCACTTAATTATTCTAATATCCATGAATGATTCGTGGATATTATATTTCTTTGCAATAAAAGCTTTGAAACCTTTTAATAGAAAAAGATTTATATTATCGTCATCAACTGTTTCAAAGGAAAATATTAATTTATAAGAAATAAGTTCCATTATATTATAATGGAAAAAAGAGTTTTTATTCTTTAATAAGAAAGACGATTTGAAAGGAGTTATCGGATAATTATTATTGATCAAACACAATACAATATTTATTTTCTATTAATTTATAAGTTTCCGATCCATCAAATACTAACAGAAAAACGAAGTCATAGAGATAAATAGATTATCATGATTCATGGAAGTTTTTAGACAATCTACAGGATCTCGTTCTCCTTTTCTAGAATTGAATTACCGTGTGTCTTTGACTAGAAATCGTACTTGAACAACTGCTAATTGCGGTCAAGACTAACCACGTTACACCACAAAACACATTTATTTCCAAATCCGAATAGTGCCATCTCAGCTTCCAACTTACTACTTCCTTTAAAAATAATGATCTCTCAAGTCAATTATTAATTTGAAAATTGAATATAATATTGAAATTCTTTTGGAATAATGATAGGTATGAGATTTTATTAAACAATGAAGAAAATTCGATGGAAAACGGCCAGTAAAACATAATAGCTTAATAACATAATAATTCGATTTCAAAGACTGTTTACAGTGATTACAACTCATTGATTAGCTGCTCTCTTTATGCAATTTTAGTTACGTACATTCGACTAATTAGTAACGCTATAACCTCGGAACGGCCCTCTGCCTTGACTGTCAGTTACTTCATAATGAACTCGACTTCTAATATTGTAAAGTTCGCTTTGGGAGCATCAAGGCCCTCGATGGTTAGGATCAGTTACTCGCTCGCGCTTCTCAATTCCTTCAATCGTGGCATTGTCCCCTACTGAAAGTCACGACGCTATTTCTCTGACACTAGGGACACATACCTGTTTAGTTTATTCCAGTAGTTGGCCATCTAATCCAATAATGTCGTCGGTCCCTGCAGACAATCTATAGTCCAAACATAATCACATCGTCTACTTTATATCGTGGCGAATTTCACCAATAAGGTTAAATCACTTTATCGACTTTACTTCTCCCGTCCTAGTTCGTCTCAATCGTATCTCATAAATTTGTAGCACAAATTATATTATTTATAGCTGCGACTGCTGCAAAATTATGAACTATGGGTCTTGGTCTAGACAGCATTGCCGAAAGAACTTCTGTTTGTAAAAGAGTCTTTAAGTTAATGTGCTGTTGTTTGCTTAAGAATCGGATATCTGCAAGATGATCTATACCATCGAAAAATGATATTTTTCTCTACTTATTTACATTATTTACTAAGTACGCTCGGGATAGATTATTCATCCTTTCGATTTTTAAACATCCATCAGTAGGCTTTTAATTTTTACAAAATTAATAATAATAACGTCTAAACAAATTGAATAAACTAATTATAAATTTTATTGTATTCTGGATAATTATGAATGATTATAAATGTTGTTTCCGTGTATATTTCTCATGGCAACGTTTCATGAAAATTCCCCTTTAAGCATCTAGCTACTGACAATTTTTCATCGAATTTTCATCGTTGATTAATAAAATCTCGCTTTTTTCTTTATTATTTGCATGCGGATGAACTGGCATACCTATCATTATTCCAAAAGTATTGCAACATTAGAGTCGATTTTCAAATTCAATTGTATATTCATGACAGTAATGTTCAATATTTATAAACGTAAAAATTATGAATTTAAAATCATGTATTGAATGCATTATAATAATCTAACGCTTTAAAAAAAAATTCAAATTCCTTTATCTTCGTGACATTGGAAATTGAATAAAGTATTAGCATCTTTTATATGTAACATATAATATAATATTGTATTAAATTAAAAAGTATTGTTATAAATATTTATATGAAGCGAAGTTGACTAAATTTTATATTATTTAGAATAGAAAATATTGTCATTACGTTAGAATTGAATAGTCACTCTTGTAAATGTTAATTCATCTATCGGAACCTACTGTGTCGAAAGGTCAAATCCCATTATAAGTAGAGAAATCTCCTAATAATATCATTTTTATACGATTTATGGGAATAAAGCGTGTAGAATTATTATCTTTACATTATTAACAAGACACAACATGTGAAGAATATCACAATATAGATGACGATATTTAAATTACAGTAAAATTTTAAATTCAAATTGAAATTCATATATTCATTTATTTCAAGTGCCGAACAATCTTCAATCTGAAATATAATTTATTAATAATGTATAGATATGAAGTTTAAATGCTAAGTGCTCGTCATTTGTACGCTATTATATTTTTTGCTTTTTTAATTTTAGATAATTGATTGAAAAAGTAGAATAATCTTTTCAATTTTACAAATCATCGTCAAATTAAAATAATGTATATTTTTACATGATATTATAATTTTTCCTATCATATGGAAATTACTACCCTAAAGTAATATCACCTAATGATGTTAAAAGTTTAGGAAAATATCATTTAATGAGAATCTCGGTAAAATTGCTTTCTTAAATTTTACAAAATTTTGGCTTATTCAAGTCGGAATGGGATGCCGTGGATCCCAAGTGCTTTCGCTATACTACACAGTCGTAAAACATTAGAAGAATGTACATACGGAATAAGCTTACGTTGGCGGTTTGCCGCGTGCATGTATGTGTATGTGGCTGGGCCTTGCTCCAATTAGGATTCCTAGAGTTCCCGCAACAGTTGTAGCCACTGGCGATGTAATCGAAATCACTGGCATTCTCGATTGAACCGACAATGTAGGAGTGTTGAATGTGTGGCTTCTCGACACGAAAGTATTTTAAGTCGGATAAGCCTGATTAAAAACTATTTCTATTCGGTATAATTGTGGAAGCTAATTGCCCAGCGCTACAGCATTTTAATGGCTGGAAAATGGCGTGATTTTACGATTAGAAAATAAAATGTAACGGAAAAACATTACGAAGTGGATTAATAATTTAACACAGAGACATAATTAATAATATTTAGGTTGAATTTTTAAAGGGATTATGAAGCCGCGTGTAAAGAGGGGTGGGGTGGGGGTGGGGTGGATGGGAGGGAGATCTTCGTTGAGTAAAGAAACGAAGATATTTGAATATATAAGTTAGACCAGAAAGTTTTGGTGTTTATAAGACGTTTCGTTAAATTTGTGAAACTGAAATGCAAATTACTAATTAAAGAACAAGTCCAAAGAATGGCTTTTGACTAGTACTGCTTAAGTTTACGCCTCAAAGACTTATTCAGAAAGGTAAATAAAATTTGTCTTTAAAATAGGATAATTGTAGTACGGCAAAATTTATTTTGCATATAAAACGAGGTAAATTATAAGTGGAAAAAATTCGATGTATGATCCATCGATAATTTTCAATTTATACTATAAACAGTAATATGATTTAACAATAATATTATTTTTTCATTTTTTTTAATAATTATTTATAAAATTTCATTAAGATAAATAAATATTATTATAATGAATCAATGCCGAATGAGGATGAAATATATTTGCAATATTGTGTATATTGTGTGTTATACCGTATAGTTGAACTCTCACGAGTTTCAATTGAACGTAATCTTGAGGTAATTAAAAATAAAATTATTACAAAATTTAATATTTCTCAAGTGATGTTTGTTAATTTAAATAAATTTATTAAACCTATGAAGCTCAGTTGGTAATAATTAATGTAATAACATTTTTAACTAAAATCATAATTAAGTAATGGATATAACTTAACGTAATAATGTTTTTCCTATCTCTCTATAGTTAATGGAATCATTAAAAAGTTTTTTTAAATTAAATATCATTTCCAAATGACTCGTATTATCTAATAATTGTTAAGATTGTTAATTAGTGAATAATGTTCAATAATACGTTCATTCATTTAACGAAATTTGACAGACTTATTGCATTTTTGTCGAGATTTAGGACAATTTATTCTATTAAAAAATATACGAAATTAGTTGTCAAATAGTAGGATTTTATAATTTCAGGTCGTATTACGTGAAATAGAGTGATGTAATAATATAATGGAGTATAAATATCCAACTGAAATTACACATTATAAATTTGTTTAAATGAAGTAATAATTCAGTGTATTGCATACTATATCAAGGCCTCATTATTATTATGATTAACAAACGTTTTATAAAATGTATTTGTCTACGTAGTTTAATAATAACAAATAGAATCATTGTATAATTCTGCTCTATTAAATATTACAGGCATTCGAGTTTTACACGATAGAGCAATTTTAGATGGATATGATGAAAATCTTTAGTGACACAATGTACGATCAAAAGATCTTCTGTAATATTTGCTATTTTGATAAGTAACAGTTTTATAAACTAAATCTCTATTATGTTCAGGAATGGAATGACGTTAATATGATGTGGGACCCTTCCAAGTATGGCAATGTTCGAGATTTAAGGATACCGCCACATAGACTCTGGAAGCCCGATGTCCTCATGTACAATAGGTAAGCGATTTTTCTTTTCGAAGAGGCACGCGAATGCTCCCGATTTTCCAATATATTAAGTTATATAATTTAAATTAAATGACAGGCTATATTTTTCTTAATGCGTTTGTCTTTTTATTAAGTGCTCCAATGTAAACATATTACAATGAAGAGGCATTTATTCTTTTGTCGTATTACCGAGATTTATAAAATCATATATCATATAGTGATATTTCATTTCTAATATAAGTATATCATATGTACGTGCTATTGTAATTCTAATTATTTATAATAACAAATTTTTCGAAAAAATTTTCCCTTACAATTTCATAGCTTCGTAGAAAGTAACAATACATGTTGTAATTATTAATTCAACTATATGAAATAATATGATGAAGTTTTGCTTTTGGTTTTTTTAATTTCGAATAATTTTGAATAATAAATATAAAAATATTAGTAATTTTCACTATCATAATTTACTACTTTGTACTTACTACAAGTTTGTGCCATTTAAATATGAAATTTTTTTGTTTTTCGTATTCATGAAAATCAATGAAGTATTATTTGAAGTATCTTTTTAACTTGAATATTTTTATAATATTTTTTTTTTTTTCGTTATTCGACAAAAGCAGACAAGATTGTTATTTAGAAAAATTTCTATCATTAATTTGTAGCATTTGTAAACAGACAAATTATGGACAAACGATAGCTAACGATTTTGTAACTTCAATGTTCAACAAATTATTGCTAAGTAAGCCTTGAATAATATATTTGACTCTAATTCATTAACACTATAACATAAAAATGGAGAAATACTTGAATAATATATTTTTCACAATAATAATTTCACAATTACAAATAGCAATAAAAATAAATATTAAAAATTTGTAAGATATGAATTGCAAAATATTTTGGCTTATTGATTTAAATAGAAAAAAAATATATATATATATATATATGTGTATATATGTGTATATATGCGTAAATAGACAAATTTTTTATTGGCATATTCGTATTATTATAGAGCTGTTCGATTAATTTTATGATAAATAGTTTTTGAAATATCATTTCTATGAAAATGTACTTTTGAGCTTTTGAGTATAATGCATTTAGAGTTTTAGAACCATTTCACTTTAAAATCCTTATATTTACGATTTTTCCGTTATGCTCGCTCCCTGCTCAGTACTTTTCTCCTTTACAAAAAAGTCTTACACCGGTGATAATCCGTCTCTTATTCCGAATCTAAGCTTTTTCTATCTCGGGCTGGTACTGCTTCGATCGGATAATACGATCCTCGTCTCAAGTAGTTGCTGATCTTTGCTTAAAAGCCAGTGGGAGCATGCTGGCATTACTTGTTGATTACAATTAGAATTGATTCAAATCGTTTATTAATAAACAATGCATTCAATGTCGAATAAATTAATACCCGTTAAATTTTCATAAATTGGTTTAATTACTTGACAAATTCTATAATACGAAGGTGGTTGATAATGATGGAAAGTGCCAAGGGTCCTATTTGCTTTAGCTTCGTGCTATCTGCACCAACTGCCATTTCCCGGCGGACAATAACTGAAATGGACTTTCTCTTCGGCCGATTTTTTATAATAAAATGTATATCGCACTTAATTTTTTTTTTCATTCTTTACATTATCTAAAGAACTAAAGATTCTTTCTTACAGTTAAGCCCTTTTATTTTGTTTCGCTTAAAACATTGCCGATTCCTTTAATTTTATAAAATTTCATTCCCATTATTGTCGGGATTAATATTTTTATTCCATAGGATTATTGCCGCATAGATCGCTATCGATATATAGTTTGATGAAAGTTTTGATGTCTCCATTGCCGACATATTTAGAATATTTAGAGGCTATATTTAAGCAGCTTAGACAAAGTGCGGCATGTTTTTTTTTTTTTTTTTTTTTTGCCATATCGGCATAACGGCTTTCGGAACTCGGGTATTTAACCTAACTTGAACAAATCCTTTAAATACTTACATTTATTAGCACGAGTCTTTCAAAAATATACTAAATAAAATCGAATTTTCGACCAAGTGACAAACAAACACGTCCCATACATTACTCAGAATTGGAAATTACAGATTGTTAGATATTAGCCATAATAATAGAGAATTTATTGGAAAAAATAAAAAAATATGTAAATAATCATAGAATTTCATATTTTATGTAATAAGTAATTTATTCAAAAATTTTACATATAACATTATGATTAATAATGTAAGTTTTTTTTTTTTTTTTGAGAAAAAAATTATGTAAAGTAAATATGCGTCCCATGATCTTTTACTATTTATTATATTTGTTATAGTTTCAAAGCTCCATGATATATTTAACATTTATCTGTATACATTAGATAGTGTCAAACTTTTATTTTCACAATTCAAACTCCGACATTGCATTTTCTTTATAGTCTTTTTACCAAGTAACGTCCACTGTGAAACTGAAGTTCCGTCCGCTCGACTTTACAAAATCTCATTACTTCTTTATTTGCGAAGACCTTCCTTTTGATCTACGTAAAACATCAAAAGAGTCATCTTAAAAGAAAAATGCCGGACAATTCTGGAATGTCACACATATCAGTGGGCTTGTGTCAGTGTTCGGGTACCAATTTCATTTTTGTAGAGTATTGGAAGAAGGTTTCCAGGTTAAAATTATGTAAAAATTCCTATTCTATATTTATATTTACATAAGCATTATTGTCTCATTAATCAAAGAAAAATTTATATACTTTAATTAAATAAATATGGAAATAAAATGAGCGGTAAATGCTGCTACTGAAATTATGATATTCTAATATTCTTGCATATTACATGAAGTTTAGTGAGTATTATTTTATCATTTCATTTAAATTTATATTTTATCGTTTTTTCACATTATTTTTTATATTTTGTCTTGGAGATATTAAATTCTACCGAGCTTATATTAATCGATTATTTAAATTTCATTCAAATAAAGGTTTTGATTTGTTTAAAATAAGAATTTTATTGTACGAGTATCTGATTTAATGATTCATTAACACTTTAAACAAGATATATTTACACCCTGCTATTGAATAATTATGTATATAAGCTATTTTTCAATTAAAATAATTACATCATTTATATTTAATTATTTAATTAAATCATCAAATTTCTGATTTAACATACTGTACTGTATTAGATTATTTTTTTATTTCAATTTTGATTTAATTATTATGCATACCAATCGAGTTAAATTAATTTATTAAAGATATTAAGTGAAGTAGATTTATTCATTGCTCTCGAAACAAGTTATTGAAAATATTAGAATGGAAAGAAAATTGAGTAAAAAAATTTTTAAACTCCACATTATGGAAGTAAATGTGAATATTTTAAATTTAAACATACATTATTTATTTTCCTTTTTTATCTCACTATTTCTATATATATATATATATATATATATATATATATATGCTGATACTATATTTTATTTTGGTTTATTTCAATATCTTAATCGCGATGAAATACATTAATTTTCTATATGTTTTTTCAGTATCTTTGCATTAATAAAATATGATGTTGCAAAGATAAAATTTACACAAAAAATTATGTTGCATATAATAATCGGAAATATTTTGCCATCAGCATTTATATACTTGAAGTACGTAATCAAAACTATCTATTAAAGCTAATAAAAAGAGTAAGTTTCAATCTTTATTCGAGCTTGCTTCTTTATTTCTGATTGATAGTATTTAATTGAAGAAAAATATAAACTTTTATGTTCATTAGATGATTATCATGAAAGCATTGGTATCGCCGGCGTTTCCGTCGGTATTTGATTTTCCTTACTGATTAGAATGGGTTATTATTACATTAATTGTATGCCAATTTCTCTTTCATATCAAACACATACCTGTAAATTTTAATTGAGCATCGATCCATTTCATTCATAGCTCCAAACATGGTTCGAATGTCATTTACGATGAAATATCAGTTATGTAATTTAATAACAGTTTAAATTATTTTATATTTATTAACTGAAGTAATCATATGATAATAACAAGTTTTATCAGCGAATGAATAATTTCTTTCTATGATAAGCCAAAACTATTATCAATTAACTGTCGGACAATGTATACAACGTGACTGAATTTTTGCAGTATATTTATAATTATAAATGAAATTTCATGTAATAGATATTAAAGATACAGTTATGTAAATTGATGGATATAATGATATGTGGAAGGGAGATGAAAACGACTTTTAGACCCTCAAAAAATGTCATAATATAGACAGAATATAAGTACTGGAAAAAGATCTATCGTCTTTCCGAATATAATTTAAACAATAAAGGAGATTGTGCTAAGGCCTAGAAATTTCTACATTCAAATGACTATAAAATGTATGCAGAAATAAAACGCCATTACATTTTTAGTCTTTTTCTGTTAATCTCCGAATTGTACGTGTAAGATATACGAAATTAAAAGTAATGGTAAAGTAGACTTCTATAACTATACATATTTATATATCCCTTTCACTCTTCCTTCATGTGTTTCGTAGTATATTTTAATACCATGAAGAAACATTCTGTAAGATAAAAATTCAACTTTAACCATGTAGAAATAACGATTATTCCGGTTAAAAAAGTAAAGCATGAAAATATCGACTACGCGTATTTTAATAAAGTAAGCTCAAATGTTTATTTTAGAAGATAAAAAAGAAGTTGATACAATGAAATAGAGAATGCACACACACACACACACACACACACACACACATATATATATATATATATATATATATAGAGAGAGAGAGAGAGAGAGAGAGAGAGAGAGAGAGAGAGAATGAGATTGTGAAAGAGAAAATGAGGAAAAGAAGAGACGCACACAATAGGGTCGATTGTCATGAGTGTTCTCAATCCTCAGAAATGCTTTATAGCACAATTATAAAAATATTAAATAAAAGATGCAAATTCAAGTAATGAAAGAGGTAAAGAGTAAAAAAATTAAAATTTAATTCGTAATCTAGTATCTGAATTGTTGATTAT